GCTACTTGGGAGGCTGAGGCAGGAGACTCACTTGAGCCCAGGAGTTGGAGGTTGCTGTGAGCTGTGATGCCACAGCACTCTACCCAGGGGGATAGTTTGAGGCTCTGCCTCAAAAAATAAATAAAAAATAAAAATAAAAAAAAAAAGAACACAGGCTCTGATTTAATTCCTGGCTCCATTTTTTAATATTCAATGCAGACCTTAAATAAATTATTCAGCCTCCATTTCTCTATCTGTAAATTGGAAATGATAACAGTATTTCCCTTAAGAGGTTGTTCAAGAATAAGTCACAAAATTAATACATCAGTGGTCTTCAGTGTGTAAAATTGCATTATATGACATCAGAGTACGCAGTTTTAATGTTTATCATATATTGAGCAGCTACTAAGACATTTACAAATTACATGTACAGTATAAAGAATCACAACATAATAAAAATAATATTCTCAGTGTAAGAAAGAGAAAATGACCTTGACTTGTGAAATATCCAGGGTGCCCCTCCCTAATTCCATTCCCTTCTCTCCCCCACGGGATATTTTACTCTTAAATTTTTTTCAGCGCTTATCCTGTTACTTATCTATTCTAGTCTCTTCGAAGTGCTTTACAAAATTTATCCTTAAAACAATCGCACACAGATGGCATTATTATCTGCAGTTTGTAAACAGAGTCGTCAAAAATTATCCAATCAGTGAACACACACCCAGGCAATCAGCCTCCTGGGTCTATGTTCACTCATTGGATAATTTTCGGAGAACACCTGATACTGTCAGGCTTGACACCTCATTTCAAGGGCACCTTCATGTTTTATACTTGAATGAACATTTAATAAACACCTGCCATGTGCCAGACACCATGTGGGGCACAGCAAAGCTTAGAGAAAGTCTTCTACCTAGCTGGCACTGGCAAGTCCCAGAATATCCAGCTTCCTCCCACAGCTGTTGACTCTGGACTCCACCCATTAGACTTACAGGCTAAGACCCTGGGAGCCCCATTCAGGCTTGAGGAAAGGCAAGCAGGCCCAGACACTCCACTTTATAGCATTGCCCAGGGGGGTTCTCAATAGCCATCAATCCCTCTAAAGCAACAAGAAATTCCAAACTTTTCTGCCCCCACACCCAGTCTCTGCCTCATCAAGACTTCCTTGGAGAAGTGGTTGCTCCAAACCACACAGGAATCTGCAGGAATCCATGCCTTTGCCAGCAAGCAGGCCAGATAGCAGCCTTGTGGCCCAGCCCACAAGGAAAAGCCTGACTTTAGCAGCATGTCACTCCTCTAATTATTCCCCGTGCATGGGTCCAACATAAACACAGTGTCTTTCACGAGCAGCTCCCACCATGCACGAACCTTGGAACCTCACGCTTGCAGCCAAGCACTGGGAAGTGCTAAAGGGTCAGAGGGTTTGTGGGGCCAGCAGCCCCCAGGCCTCTGGGGAGAGTCCCAGTTGCTCTCTGGTTCAAAATCTGGACACAAAAGAAACTGCCTGAGGCCCCACCAGGTCCTATTTTCTGGGGCTGGCCCAGGACACTGCAGGTTGGAGCCTAAGAAGGACGAGAAGGGCAGACGGCAATTGCATCTAAGCCAGGGGGAAAGGAAAGCAAAGATGTTTCCTCAAGGGTCATATTCTCTTAGCAAGTGCTCCCTAGGCTACATTCTCTGCTGTAAACTTTTCTTTCTTTCCTTTTTTTTTTTTTTTTTTTTTAGTATTTACTAAATACCAGTCCTGGCAGACATTGGGGGTGTGGAGGGGAGTATGGTTCTAAAATACAACAGCAAACAAAACATCAAGGGTCTTACTCTGGGGGCATCTTTTATCATTGAGAGGATGGGGACAGGCAATAACCAAAGTAATGAGACTATTTCGGATTGTGGTTAGTGCTTTAAAGAAAATAAAATATTGGTGCTGCTTTGGTGGCGGGGGGAGTGCAGGGAAATGAATATTTGAGCTGAGATCTGAATAAAGAGCTAGCAATGCAGAGCCAAGGAGAAAGCCTTCTACCTAGAGGGAAGAGAAGTGCAAGACCCAGAGGCCTCTGATTAAATGCTGACTGGGGGTTTAAGAAATGTCTTATGGAAATTCAGTATTCTCAAAACTCTAGTACAAGGTAGGGTAAGAGTTATTGTCTTAAGATTGTAAAGATCAAAGTCTTGTGTTGGAAAGAACTTTCTCCTGGCTTTAAACGAACTCGCATTATATATATTTTTATATTTTACATCTCACAAGAGTCTTTTCTAGAAGGCTTTCATGTCCTTTTATCCTTTAAACTTTTATAATATAGGTTGAAAGCATGATACAATCTTTAACTTCCAGTTTGTGTATTGTGAGATCTTTTTCTTAGAACTAATGAAGACTTCCGTTCTGTTGGGATGTAATTTACCTCCCTTGTACCAGAATTTGAAATAAGAATGCCATGTACCTCTAATTGCAACTATGTAAAAATAAGTGTGTACAAGGATTGAGGCGGTGGGAGTATGGGAGTATAGGAAAGGGCGGAGGCCGGTTTTCAATATTCCTTTTCTTGTTATTAAAACTAGGAAGAAAAGAATACATTGTGCACAAGTGTGCAGTCTCCTTGTCCTCGATGTTAATAAATGTGTTCTCAACTGCGGTTTAGATCAGATCACATTTCTAACATTGCTACAACCAATATCCTCTCCAGCCTGCAATTCAAGTTGAAAAGTGCACGAGGTCTTTACAAACCCCAGTGAAGGCGTCGGCGCACGTAGAGTGCATGTGCACCCTGCTTTCTCTCCACGGACAGAATTTCTTGGGGATCCCTCAGGCCTCCCCGGCCATATTTCTCCCTAGGCTCTTATTAAAACCAGGTGTGCGGAAGGCAGGCCATTTTGGACAGAAAAGCCTTCGCTTGACCCAAAGCTCCCCCTTCCGGTGTGTTTTCTAGAGGGAATTCCTGAGCTGAGCAAAGGAGAAAGCGGGCAGCTTCTCCGGGCCAGGGAAATGGGAAATGTGCAAACAGCCTGCAGCCCGAGCTGTGCAAGGGCCAGGCGCACAGGGGCAGGTGAGGCGAGGGAGTAAACAGCTGGGGACAGGGACACTGTCGCCCACCACCACCTCGCAGGAGCGACGTAAGCGCGCGCTGAAAGACCTCCAGAACCACAGCTCTTTCCGGGGCGGAAGGGAAGGCGCCAAGCAGCTGCGTACGTGAACTTGAAACCCGGGCGGGCCAGACGCCGCAGGCCCGGGCGTGGGCAGGAGCCGGCGGGAGCCCCTGACTCCCGAGGCTCGCCTGCGGCCCGGCGCGGGATTCCAAGGCACCGGGGACCCCGAGCGCTTACCCTCCGCGGCCAGTGTCACGCGCGCCTCCAGGGCAGGGGCGGGACCGGCGGGGTTAGGTCACAACTGACGTAGCAGCCGGGCAGCCACGGCGGGAGTCCGGTCCCTGGGACGCTGAACTCAGAGGGACACCCCTGTACCCTCGCGGTGGGCTAGTTTGCCCGCGACCTTTGACCACGAGGCCCCACTACAGCTAGTGGCCCTGCAGCAAAGAGTGCCGCCCTCAACCCCCGCCGCCGCCTCCAAGCTCTCAATAAAGCTGCTGAGAGCTGTGAAGCTTCGCCCCCCTGGGCCCCAAGACCATCTCTCTAGCTACCAAAGATTTGAATATTAGCGTGGACTAAAATTATTCAAAGGAATAGTGAGAGAGAGGCCTCAGAAGGAGGAGAAGCATTATTGGGACACAAAAAGTCAGGGCGCAGAGAGGAACAGGGACCCCAAAAATTGTGCTTCCAAATTTTGCATTCCTATTTCCTATTCCTTCAACCTAAAAGCAAGCCAGCCTAGCTTTTCCATTTCTCTACTGGTTTGGGTTTTTGTTTTGTTTTGTTTTTTGAGACAGAGTCTCACTTTGTCACCCTTGGTATAGTGCGGTGGCATCACACCTCACAGCAACCTCAAACTCGTGGGCTCAAGCGATTCTCTTGCCTCAGCTTCCCACGTAGCTGGAACTACAGGTGCCTGTCACAACACTCGGCTATTTTTAGAGATGAGGTTTCACTCTGACTCAGGCTGGTCTTGAACTGGTGAGCTCAGACAATCCACCCGCCTTGACCTCCCAGAGTGCTGGGATTACGGGTGATAGTTCCCGGGCCTGGCCTTCCTCTACTATTTTTAAAAGCTCCTTTCCAAAAGCTATGTGGCCTGACTGCTCTTGTTTTTTGAAGAGTTTGCATGAATTTTGAATACCCCAAGTTAAGAAATAGCCAGCCAGACAAGGTTAGAAAGTCTGCTGCCCCAAACATTTGCCAAACACACTAGACTCTGTAAAAACCTATTGGAAATGGTCACCAGAGCATATTTGGGTTTGGTGCCCTGTTTAGTGTTAATACCTGTTCTCAGCCTTAACCCCAAGATCCTGTGACAAGTAACAAGAGAATCCCAGAGAAGTAGATTCAAGCAACCCTGGTAATTTCTGGCAGTTGAGACACTAAGCCAGTTTCTCAAATTGTGGTCAATGGACCACCTACAGGAGATTTTGGGGGGGTTCCTGTTACAGGTTCAGGATTTAGGGCCTATGCTGTAGCCTGTAATTTGGATTAAGAAGAGTGAGGCCCAGAAGCCTGCATTTTAATAAGCTAACTTTGTGAGATTTTTGCTTGCTATACTTTGAGTTACTAGATTTGGCCTTTTGTTTAACTTTGCTGAAACGGTGCTTGTTTTTCTATCTTAAGCTCTCAGCAGTGTAAAACACTCTTTTTATTTAAAAAAAAAAAAAAAAGTATACGGGCATAGTGGCTCAGGCCTGTAATTCTAGCACTCCGGAAGGCTGAGGCAGGAAGATTACTTGCACTTAGGATTTCTAGACTAGCCTGAGCAAGTGTGAGCCCTCCATATCTTCTTTTTTTTTTTTTTTTTTTTGAGACAGAGTCTCAGTATGGCACCCTCAGTAGAGTACGATGGTGTCACAGCTCACAGCAACCTCAAACTCTTGGGCTTAAACTATTCTCTTGCCTCAGCCTCCCAAGTAGCTGGGACTACAGGTGCCTGCCACAACACCCAGCTATTAGACCCTGGTATCTTCTAAAAATAGAAAATTTAGCATGTAGGTGCCTATAGTTCCAGCTACTTGGGAGGCTGAGAGAGGAGAGTCACTTGATCCCAGGAGTTGGAGGTTGCTGTGAGCATTGTAGCCTTGGGCAACAGAGACTCTGTCTCAAAAAGAAAGTGTACACTGTGAAGTGTACACTTCCAAATGAGTGTGCCTTGTTTCAGAAAGTCATGAATTTTTAAAATTATGCTTAAAGTGTTAACATCCTACTATAAAGGCTCTAAGCACATCCTGATGGCAGGTAGGAGGATTATGCCCTGTGCTTTCTACTCGCTTGTACTGTTTGTCATTCTGAACCAGATACTCCTGGCCTGTCTATTCCACTACTGCCCCATTCAGGCCTTGATCAGTTTCCTTTAGGTAAAACAGAAACTGAGGCTGGGATCATGGTGGCTTCCAAACTGAATGGTACAACAGCAGAATCAGGGGACTTTTTAAAACTGACTTCTAGACCCACCATGGATCACAGCTTTCCCAAACATATATGTTTGCAGACCTTTACTTCACAAAGCATGGGATTAATGAACCATCAAAAGTAGTACTGGGAAAAGTGGCACCCAATTGAATTTGTGAAAAGAGTTTTTGCAACAGAAATGCTCTAACACACTGTTGCTTATCATATAAAAACGTTGGAAGTAACGTTTTGTCCACCAACAGAAAGTTGATTAAATTATGAAACATTTATATGAAAGGATACAAGACAACTGATAACGATTATATTTCAGAGAATATTTGACACAGAAAGGAAAGATACTCTGATGAGTAAGGGAAAAACTACATGAACAATTGCTCTCTTTTTGTTTAAAAAAGGAAAAAGGCTAGTGGTTACTGATAGAAGACCCAAAAGAACAGAATCCGAAAGTGATGACAGTGAACACTGAAAAGAATCCCAATTTTCACTGCAGTACTAGAAAATGGGAGAAAACAGAGCCTTGGTTAGAAGTCGTTTGAAAAAACTTTAGACATCCTCTCCAAGTTGGTATAGCTGGGTGGCTGTCACTCATCCTGCAAACTATTGAAGGCCTATTCTCTGGAGAGGGTGTCTTAAAAAAATAAGAGGATTAAGTGAAAGTTTACATGCTTTCCCAGAAGGCTGGCAGCCTAACATACATCCTCCAGAGAGCAGATTGCAAGATTCTTCTTCAGTGAAACTGACAGACGGAAGAGAAAAGGCAAAAGATACCAACAGGAGGGGCTCAGGATCAGGCCCAGTAAGGTCACCTTGTGCTGCCCATAGCTGGCAAACCCCATCCACAGACACAGAGCTTCCTTTTAATCAGCCACACTCGGCGCATAGTGAAGAACTATCAGGTGTTAAAAGAAAGATTCCAAATAGCCAGGCGTTGTGGCAGGCGCCTATAGTCCCAGCTACTCGGGAGGCTGAAGCAAGAGAATTGCCTAAGCCCAGGAGTTGGAGGTTGCTGTGAGCTGTGACGCCGTAGCACTCTACCCAGGGTGATAAAGTGAGACTCTTTGTCTCTACAAAAAAAAAAAAAAAGAAAGATTCCAATATTAAAGATAGAGGTTAAGAGTACACAGAAGAAAGCAACTTGGAGGAAACCATGTCCATAAAGGGTAAAGAAAAACAAATTTTTGGTTTTTTCACTGGAAGGCTCAGAGATCAAAAACAATATATAGTCATGAAACAAGAACAAGCTACTGGTTTTGGTTTGTTTTGCTTTGGTTCTTAAAAAAGGAAATGAGAACAAGACAGTGTATGTGACAAAATGACTAAAGGGAAAAAAATTAAAAAAAATGACTAAGGGATAAAAGATGTTGGTACAAACATATGACAGTGAAGGGCAGATTGGACCAACTAAATGATAGAAGTTCCAGAGAGGATAGAAAAAATAAAAACGAGGCTATGATTAAATAAGTTAATTAATGGATATAATTTCCCCCAAATTGAAGGACATGAGTTTCCTGACTACAACCTCAAATGTCTGAGCTCAGGCAATCCTTCTGCATCAGCTTCCTGAATAGAGTAGCTTGGACTACCTGGCTAACTTTTGATTTTTTTTTTTCTTTGCAGAGACGGGGTTTTGCTGTATTGCCAGGCTGGTCTTAAACTCCTGGCCTCAAGTGATCCTACTGCTCTGGCCTCCCAAAGTACTGGGATTATAAGTATAAGCCACCATGCCCAGCTGAGTTTCCTGGTGAAAAGACCTATTGAGTGCCCAGAACATGGTTGGGTTGTTGAAATGATTAGAAGCTACAGAAAAGAACATCATTCTGAAATTTCAAAACATGAGTACAAAAAGATTTTAGCCATTTCTAAAACAAAAGAAATGAGTGAGCTAGGAGAGATCAAAAATCAGAACAGACTTCTCAATAGCAGCCCTACAAATCGGAAGACAAAGCTAATACTTAGGGGAAGCCTGAACTATATGCCATGCCCTATTTTAAGTGCTTTGCAAGTCACCCTCACAGCAGCCTGTGACATAGCTACTACTATGGTCTCAAGATTGCAGAAGAGAAATCTGAAGTACAAATGGCAAAGTAACTTGCCAAATATGACTCTCATAGTAATGGCAGAGTTGGCTCGGCGCCTGTGGCTCAAGTGGCTAAGGCACCAGCCACATACACCTAAGGTGGCAGGTTTGAATCCAGCCCCGGCCTACCAAACAACAATGACGGCTGCAACCAAAAAATAGCCGGGCATTGTGGCGGGTGCCTGTGGTCCCAGCTACTGGGGAGGCTGAGGCAGGAGACTCGCTTGAGCCCAGGAGTTGGAGGTTGCTGTGAGCTGTGATGCCATGGCACTCTACCCAGGGGGATAGTTTGAGGCTCTTTCTCAAAAAAAAAAAAAAAAGTAATGGCAGAGTTGAGATTTGGGCCAGTTTGTCTGGCTACAAAGTCCATGATCTTAAATGGTACTTCATAATGGCACAATGCCTTCAAAATTCAAAGGGCAAAATACCTCCAACCCAGATGAAGTAGCCAGCAAAGCTACCAATAAATAAGAAGGTGAAATCATTTTTATATGTGCATATTCTAAAAAAATATATCTCTGTACACTTTTTCTTAAAAAGCTACTAGAGAATAACCATTCCAAATTGGAGTAGGTCAGAAGGTTCAGGAAGCTATGTCTCCAAAAAGATGAAATTAGCTGGGCATGGTAGCATGCTCCTGGAAACTAAAAGATTTAAAAGCATTCTCCTCCGAGAAGCAGGACATTGAGAATGTGAGTGGTTCTGAAACCATAGCTTGTTGTGATAAGCCTTGTAAAACTATTGGACTCTTTAAACCATGTGGATGTATAAG